CGGTGAGAACCCGGCGTGCTCCGTCCCGGCTTTGTAGGGATGCGAGGTCAATGGTCTAACGATTGCGGCATGCACGACTATGAGTAACCCCCCCCAAACCCCCCCTACCTACGGAGTGGATCGAAGCAATGCATGCAGAACAGATGCGAGGTGTATCTACCAGAGGACGATGTGACATGATGGCCAACATACCAGGCTACTAAGTTGGACTTACAATTCAGCTTTATTCTGGCGAACGGCGTGGTTGCACCAGAGAAACAAGAAAACTGAAACCTGGAAACTAGAACTATGAATGGTATCATGTTGATCGTGACAAAGCCAGTGGCGCTACCAAGGTTGAATAACCTTGATAGGCATCTACCTCTCAAGGACAAGGGATCGACACCGGTTGACAACAAGGAAAACTATCGACACTTTTCATGATCCTCACCAGCGTCAACTAGAACTGCCACACATACATAGATTACGATGGAACGGACCCTATATGGAAGTGAGGGTCCAAGCCGTCGCCGGACGTCACCCACATCTTTCGCATTAACGAGGAACTGGACGGGAAGAAACGTCACCACCAACAACGGAATAGAGCCACGATCAACACAGCGAGCGATCACCGGAACAGCAGCACCAACACAAAGGAGAACACCGAGCAAGTAAGGCTCGGGGACATCACCAGTCTTTCCAACCTGATCTGTGAGTTCAAGGAAGGACTTGGTGCGGAAGGAAAAGGCGTCAGCAGTATGGTGGCGTCTTTCGAGAGTCCGTCGGTTGCAGTGTTCGGCACCGAAGCCAAAACGGCATCAGTTGCGCTGCCAGATCTCTTTCTCGGCGGCAAGGCTGGATGCTTCCTTGGCCAACAGGACAGCTCTCATCAGCGCTCTCATGACGACAAGTTTATCAGGAGCAGCAGCAACAACAGCAGCTACCCGAACTCACCGAAGATCGACTACCAGTCAGAGTTCGAGAAGACCATCGCTAATGAGCCGGAGGAACTGACGCACGATCAACCACCCAGTGATGAAGATACGGAGTCGGACACCAGCACTACAGTGGGCGACATGTGACCCTGATGGCAGGCTCATCTGCAGTTCGTACATGACAAGAACAACGAAAATGCAGCGTAGGACAAATTATTAGTATTGTAGATCACGATAGAGGGACTGCATGCAACAATGTATCACTCAATTCTCAGCTCAGAAGTAAGCTACGATCCTTTCAACATCAATTTGACGTCGGCTTCGGATCCTGTTTTCTGGCACAGGAAATTCAAGCACAGTTTGAATTCAGTGCCTCAGGATGGTGCGTAGTCCTTGCTCAAGTCAGCATTGCATGTGCACTTCTTGCAGTGTAGAACATCTGATATTATAAAACACTTTACTAGTACTGTCCAGACTTCGTTTTGAATCAGTGCGACCAAGTCCTCTACATAGACCAGTGGCCTCAGCGAACGCATGAAGTCTTCTATCTTAGGATACTCGATGCTCCCAGAATTGACCTTTGACAAATGGTGTGCAACTGCGCTCCATCGTCGATCATTCTCAAGGGTACCAGGTGCATGATTTCCGAAAAGCATCCCCAGCTCTCTCTTCTAGTGTATCATACTATTACTCTCAAACTCCTCACCATCAGGGCCACATGTCGCCCACCGTAGTGCTGGTGTCCGACTCCGTATCTTTATCACTGGGTGGTTGATCGTGCGTCAGTTCCTCCGGCTCATTAGCGATGGTCTTCTCGAACTCTGACTGGTAATCGATCTTTGGTGAGTTCGGGTAGCTGCTGTTGTTGCTGCTGCTCCTGATAAACTTGTCGTCATGAGAGCGCTGATGAGAGCTGTCCTGTTGGCCAACGAAGCATCCAGCCTTGCCGCCGAGAAAGAGATCTGGCGGCGCTACTGATGCCGTTTTGGCCACGGTGCCGAACACTGCAACCGACGCACTCTCGAAAGACGCCACCATGCTGCTGACGCCTTTTCCTTCCGCACCAAGTCCTTCCTTGAACTCACAGACCACGTTGAAAAGACTGGTATGTTCCCGAGCCTTACTTGCTCGGTGTTCTGCTTGGTGTGTATTCAATTCTAATTCTTGTCAACACATGCACTGGCTGTTCCTGTCATCGTCCTTAAGAACTGGTCCAAGAAACTCAGAAACTTCCTAGAATATTCCTTGGGCTGAAAAAACGTTATTCAGTAAACTCTCCTCATACGTTACATTTTACTCCGCTCTACAAATCATTGCATACAGCAACCGTGCAGCAGTATTCAAGTAACTATACATAACCAAGCAGTGATACTGCTGTATACCTCAACAGTGTCCTACCACAACACAGCAGTACTGTGTAGGGCAACACTCGGGTGCAGGGTGTGAGCGAAAACAACTTCTAGGATTGTGCGGATTATTTGGGACTGGAGTTCCCGGGAGCTCGCGTGGTGGACACACAAGTTGAAACACACAAGTTGAAATATAATGTTTCGTTGTGCTGGGAATGAAGTGTTGGAACGAATGTCGGAATAAAATTCGAGTATCTAGGGCAGAAACAAGCATTAGTGTAAAGTCGTTTTGGATTAAGTGTGTGTTCCATCTTAACCCGGCTTCACATTCAAGGACACACGCCCCAACATGAACAGAAAAATGGGGCTGACTGAAATCGAAAAATGGGGCTGACTGAAATCGAATAGATAGCGATTTTGCATGCTACTCAAGTAGTTGAGGGTATATACCTCGGTATGGGGGCTCTGCCGTTGGGTTGTCCCGCCTGTATAGCAACTCCGACAACCGGAGAGCTAAACCATCGCCGTCATGGTGCCCAGCGATGGCGTTGCTGCTGGGGGGTCGACCCTGCTGCCTCTGCGGTGATTGTTTGAGGCAGATTCAACAACAGAATGGTTTATTGGCTGATGCACATATCGGAGAACGTAGAGACTTTAAAAGATGCTCCAAGAGAACGGAGAACTGACCGGGGTTTTGGCGTACATTTTATGTCCAAGCACCCAAATTACGAACCTAATCCAATTGGGTGCTAATATGTGCTGCTGCTTTAGATACAGCAATGCAGGAGCTTTTTCAGCGGCGGGCGCAGGGAGCATCTGCCAAAACACGTACAGCAGTAGTCTTCGCAGGGTTTTTCTATTAAGTAGGCATGTTGGATATAGCTTGCAGTCGGGGAAGTTGGGCCAGGGTTAGGGTTAGGGAAGAGGGTCTGCGTACCACCTCCCTGTTCCATTTCCTCATTAACTGCATTTTTCGCGAAGGCGGAAACACACATTTCGCCTCCGAGTAGGGAAGACCAGCTCAAAGTCCCAAAACAGCCCATCCCGCTCCTCGCCCGCCGCTTCCGCCGCATGCTGCTGCCTTCTGCCCGTGCCCGTGCCCGTGCCCCTCCCGGCTTCGGCCATGCCAGGCTCGTTCTGCCGCTGGAACCTCGGGTCGTCTTTAACATTTAATATTCAAGTAGACATGTCCACACATAACCGATTGACAGACCAAGGAAAAAGTAAGGTGACCGTAAGGCACCTATATTAGCTGGGCATCGGCGGAGGTGGGTTGTTCTCCATTCCTACTTCTGTTCCCCCATTGTACGCCCTCGGTGGACGTCCCATACGCTTGACACCGGGCGTGTGGTTTGCCGTTTGTCTAACTTTTATCACTAGCCTCGTCTCCACCCTAGATGCCGTCAGTTTCTGGTATGGAGGTGAACTGGGCACGTTTTGGGGCCAAAGCGGGCGGGTGTTTCCGTACAAATTCGCGATCGCGATTTAGCTGCGTTCGGCGATGGCTCGAACTCCAAAGGGACACTTTTCACTGCTGCGCGTGACTGAAGTTCAACACACACAACCCATTCAGCACAAACAAGCAGCAGCAGAAAGCTTACCGGCAGGTTGGTCCATCGAGAGCGACTGGTCGTTGCCGCCGTCGTCCTCTTCATTGTCGTCGAGGACAAAAGTGTCCCGTGTCAAGTAGATGCTGCGCAGGAAACCCAGCGTCATCTAAACCCATGAACGGTTGAGCGGCCAGGGACACGGGAATTGAGTTCTGTGCGACTGAACGGGTAATTGCTGAGAGGACAATAGCGGGATTGAGGGGGGACTGCCTCATACTTCTTTCCAAGTCTCTTGGTGCTGAATGTGAAGATGAGCGAGCCGCGGAGGAGAACAATATCTTCACAGTGCGACCGCCCGCCGTATTCAAGGCACTTATCCCTGGCTTGTTTATGCTCCTGGCGTTGCGAGCGGTTTGGACCACCTGGACTACAGCAGGCAGCAGTATACGCGTATCAAGGGGCATCATGCTTGAAAAGCGAATTAGATCGCTCGGGTTGGGAACTCGCGTTTATGGACGACTTCCCGGCGAAGCGTCAAGGACAAGGGCGGCATGTTAGTTGCGTTTCTAAATCTCATATGCTACAGTGAAAGGCTAAACACCCAAAAAATAATCTCACGGTTACAGCTAGCCCCCGCACATAAACACTTCTTAGTTTTGGCCGAGACTGGTGTTCTTAGTTTCCTAGGGTCATACTACAAGTGACCGCAATATAGGTTCTAGTGCGGAGATTCCTAACCGGGCTCACAAATGGTGCTCAAGTTCTTACGTTTGGATAAAATGGGCATCAAGTCTTAACTAACTGCCAAGATCGTAGGTGCGGGGGTTGACTGTATCGGAGTATCAATCTGCAGCACAACAAAACGGCTTGCGCGTTGTCACGCTTTGATCTATTGCTGGAGGCGGGACTTCGGCGGCTTCAATTCGGTTCACCACTCCGCACATCTGAATCCGAATCAATCCTTTGCCACTATTGCGTACTCGTTACTACGTGCCCTAGCCCCGTGAACTGCGGGCTGTCGAAGGCAGCAGTGGTATGAGCTACTACTGCTGCTGTAGATCCGCTCTTCAGAATATTTGGGTCTTGCGACGGCGAGCCAGCACTGCAACGGATGTATTATTAAGTCCCAGATTCACTTGTGTTTGCGGACACTATTGGAACGCTTCATCACAAGTCCCCGAAGTATGCATAGTCTACTTTATCAAAATCAAGGTTTGCGAAGGCGGGTTTTGGTTTGTTTGGACATTTGCCGCGGGGCCTCTCCGACGTGGGAGACAACCTGCTACAGCAATGCGCCTCGGTGAAACTGCCGTCACGCCACCGCCGAACCGCAAATATCCCTTGCGGAAGACACTGCTCGCCGGCAAGCCAAATACTACGTCGGCTCCTTCGGCGCTGGTGAGAAAAGAAATGCTCATCATCACACCCGGTGACGAAGCAGATGAACAAAACAGGGCTAAGGAGTTGTTTGGGAATTGTTCGCGTGGGAGAGGGTCGCTGCAAACTTTCCCGCTCAAACGCATCACGTCGTCAAACCTTTGGCATGGAAGATGGCCAATAGACCTGCAATAGCTCCCTCGGAATAGTTTTGGTAGGGCTGTTGCCTCCTCCTTCGAAGCATATCCCCGGAAAACCAAAACGATGGGGAATCCAAAAATACCAAACTTGGACCAACCGCTCTCTGAGGTTGATTTTCAAGGTCACCCTCCCCGCGCTATGCACGACACCCCGCGGTATCACACCTTGGGCATGAACGATAGGCCATAGAGCTCCGTCAGAGTAGCACTGCTGTCACTTGCTGTTGCTTCTTCTTTCGAAAATTTAGAGATATAAAATCCAAACCTTGGCCGTCAGAAATGTCAAAGTTGGATCAAACCTGCTCTTGAAAATGATTTCCAGGATTAACACCATCCGTTCCTTAGCACGCATCCCACAGCGCCAATCCTTTGCACGGTCCAACAGGCCATGGCAGCACTCCTTCCTTCCGGGTACCGCTCCCAAGGCACAAGGTACCCCGTCGTGTATTCGGCGAGATACCCGTTAACACATAAACTGAGAATCGGGAAAAGACACGGCTTGTTCCCTGTCTTTTCCTTGCCGTCAGGTCTGTTCTGCCTGTGCTCCTTCTCCGCATCTCCTGAGAAGGGTGTTCCTGCCTTCCTGCTAGTTGTTCCGTTGGCTGACATTACAAACAACCGAGGGAGAACCCAGTAATCACACACCGGATCCGCAAGCCCAGGTGGAACGTGTTGCGCGACACACGACTGGTTCGTTGTCGCACAAAGCAGCGGTCGGGGCTGTGTCCACCAGCGTATAATGGAGTCTATCTCCACACACCTTCTCTCACAGTACCGCGGACGAAAAAATCCGCCAGTCTACGAATACATTCAAGGCGGAGCAGGCGACACGGCGGATGCCCCAGCAGGAAATTTGCGATGTAGGAACCCGAACAAGAAATGCGATGACCAAGAGATGATCTCATGGACATGCGCGTCGACACGCCCAGATCTGCCACTCGGGTCGCGTGGCCGAAGGCTGCAGCTGCTGTGCGGGCCGAAAAGTCCATAAATCTGCTTGGTCCCTATTCCGTGCAATTCGCGATCCGCTGCTGTACGCGACGTCACAGACCCAAAACTGCTGAAATCGCGGGTGTAGTCTACAGCAGTCTACACCACAGCAGTACACTAGCTCAAACCACTACTTCGTACAATGTTGCTGCCTTGGGCACCGCAGTTCGGGGAATTTGGTCTGTGACGGCGGCGCCTACAGCAGTGGATCGTGCAGCGGATCGTGAACGAAACGAAGAACTCCACACAGATGTGGGATTGATTTCGGCCCGCACACCTGCAGCCTTCGCTCGCGCGGCCCAATCACAGATCGGGCGTGCCAACGTGCGCTTCGCTGCTCAATGATGCCCTCTACTGCTGTATACGGATAGCCTTTTTTTCGAGACTACTACATCCACAAAAGATCGTTCTTGTTTTTTTTATTACCCTCAATATCTTGGGTTTAGACTGCATACAGCAGTAGTGCGTAGAGCCCGATTTCCCGCCAACCTTGGCAACACCCCCTTGAGCATGGTTTGCTCCACTCTTTTATAAGTTCCAACTAACATGTTCCGTGCCTTTTGGCTTCTTTATGCTGATGTTTGGACAGATGGATTCTGGCTATGCGAACCACCGGTGTTGGATGTACTCATCATCGACAGATTATTTTACGCAAGAATTTTTCCAAGCAGACGGAGCGGGGAGCTTGGGGGTTCAACAGTTGCTATGAATTGGATTTGGTGGTACCAACTTTGCCGCATATTACAAGATTTAGGGTATGGGTATCTACAACCGATGTGATGATGTGGGTTGTGGTTCAGTCCCTTTTCTTTCCTCCTTTCCTATATAATCAAATTTCCCCGGCTTCCACGCCACCCGGCTTCCACGCTACCAGGGCTTCCACGTCCTTGTCAATATCTTAATATCAAGGCTTCCACGCCACCCGGCTTTCACGCCACCACCAGGGTTATCACATCCATCCGAGCTACCACGCTTCACAACAAAATAGGAACTGGCTGCCACGCCAGCGGATAATCTTCTGTATTTTCACCGTTCAGTGGCTGCCCAGCTGCTGGCTCTTTTATTTCCCTTCACGGGACCCCGCGCCGAGGCACCAAGCCACTCAACACGCTAGCGTACCGATCGAATGAGCGGCTGCTGTGTCTACGCGCGCAAGATGCCAGACGGAGACGGGCAACTACCTCCGGCGGGACAAGGGCACGGGTCCCCCCCGCCGGAGAAGGCGTCGCGGGCGGAGGAGGAAGTGATTCTTTTCTCCGTCAACGATGCACGAGATGAGGGAGGTGCGAGAGCAGCAGGGGGGACAGATAGCAGGACACGTTGCACTCGCTGGTCGACTTTCTCAAGCAGGCCTTCACGGCCTCCTCCCAGGATCGGGAGCCTCATGCCCATTCAGGCACGTCGGGCGCACAGACTTTAGAGTTGCGGCAGAGAGAAAAAGTCGATGTACCAGTGTGGAATGAGGAATTCTTGAAGGGCAGATCGATACAAGTGGCGTTGCGTGTCTTTCGGAGTGCATTTGAAGCTTGGCTTGACAATGAGAGACTATCAGACACGATGAGGGGTCCAGAGGTTCCTGTAGGCGGTATGGATGTGGATCTGAACTGGTTGGCAAGGACTTAAGGAGAAGAGCAAGTGAGGAATTCAAGAAAGGTGTGGACTTTCATGCTAGACAAAATCACAGCGCAAGCAGTGCAAGCACAGATTTTGGCGTCTGAGTCGCCGCATGCGGAGTACAATGTTTTTCTCAACCAGTGCAGCCACGATAAGAGTGAAAAGCGCCAGAACCTCGACGACGAGTGGAATTTATTGTGTCAGAAGCAGGGGGAGAGTCTGACGAATTACTATGGAAGGGCCGTCGCATTGTGGATGAGGTCGAGGACGTATGGTGATAACAGAACTGAGTCATCCACGTGCAAACACATTGCCCGAGGCTTTCTGGAAGAATTCGATAAGACCAAAGACCGTGTGCTCTTCCACCCTATGTTGTCGAGGGTTGCCATGCAAGAGACGCTGAGGATGGCTGAGCACGAGCGGAGGCACGAACGGAGAGCTGGAGAGAGGAGAGAGGAGGCGAGGCACGCCCTCGTCGCTGCCGGCATGGGCCGGGGCGGTGAGCCGAGGAAACCAGCTGCCAAGACGGACCACCGTGGACAGCAGCTGCAACAGCCTCACACGTCGATGCAGCCACAACAGCAGTAATCGTCGCACTTCTGCCAATTCCACGGCCCTAACAGCACCCACGAGACATCCGACTGCCACAAGTTGCGCGGTGACTTCCTCGCCCACTACAACGAGTTCTTCGCGTACATGAGAGGGCGGGGGGAAGCTCGGGGGTCTGCAATGCCTCGAGGCGGAGCGCAAGACTCGGGGCGTATGGCTGGTGGTCCAATAAGACAGGCGCCGTACCACCATCAACAAGGTGCGGGGTGGAGTCAGGGGCACCCTCCTGCGCTACCAGGACCGCCGCGGGGACCAGTAGCAGGGGCTGGATGGCAGCAGCAACTGGGGCGCAACTCTGGGGGGCGTGGCTACGGCAGCTACGGGTCTCAACCTCCCGAGGGCCGTGGGCGACACGGCGGGGGCGCCTGCGGCGGTAATTATCCGCCGCCCAACGTTCCTCCCGGGCAGATTGCCAACGTTCCGCGGCCCTATCTTCCGGCTAATTTGGCCATGGGCGGCGGAGATTCCTTCGGCTACGACACCACCTCGGGATGGGAGGCAACACCGGCGCAGGTACCAACCCCAGCTGGACGAGACCACCTCCCGAGGCAGGCTACGGGTACGGGCTTGCGGCTCACGGAGGGGACCATGGCGGAGGTCTCTACGGCAACGCCGGCGGGGGATACGGTTTCGATCATTTTCCCGACGGCGGCGGGATATTTCATCAACAGCAGGAGCAGAACCACGCACCACACTACCTTCTGCTGCAGGCCCTGACGCCTTCCAACCGCGAGCTCAATACGAGGCCTTCGACACCTCGACCCATCAGGCTACGTTCCCGCAGCAGCAGCAGCAGCAGCAGCAGCAGCAGCA